ATGTCATCGAATCCGACCAAACGTGCACTCCTGCGCGCGCATGTCGAAATCATTCAAACGCCTTGGTTCGCGTGCTGGGGGGCGCGATCCCTGTCCAATGATGCCACGTGGGCCACGCGCGCGTCGGCCGCGCGCGCGCGCGTCGAAGACCTTCAAGACCGTCATCGCCGACGCGTGGACACCATTGAAGTCATCGGCGTCGTCATTGGGTTCATTGTCACAAGCATCGCTACTATCATCATCGCATCAGCTGGCGTCGACGCCACCGTTATGCCGCGCCCGCCCAGAGTCACCGACCCGCGCAGAAGCGCCCTCGCGTCAGCGCGGCCTGTGAGACGCACCGGGAAGGTTCCAGCGGTCAACGCAACCGCGGCCGCGTCGGTCGCGCCGGACTAGCTGGCCGCTCTGCGCGCGAGCCGGCGCGCGCCATCGCGGCCGCAGCGATGCACCATTTAGCGCCGAGCAGCTATCGCAATCGCCGCCGCCTGGGCGTTGCAGATCAGGTCGCGGGCGGGTTGGTGGGAATATTGCGCCAGCTGTTGAAATGGCAGCGCGTTGCAAACAAACATTCATGTTCCTTTTGTACGGCAGCGTTCAGATTCCCTCCCCCCACGGACTTAACGCCCCGTTTGTCGCGTTTTTCTCAGCGTCTGATCCCGCGTTCTTGCCCAGCCGAAATGTGAACGCGACGTGCCATCCCAGCCCGACGCTATCGACCCCCCCCTTCTTCCGCCCAGAAGAATTATTCGCCCGCAGTTTTTGCATCGCGTGGGCGGTACGATCCGTTTCAAATAATAGCATGCGGGCTACTCTCGCGCATCGGCCGCGCGCGTGTGTGTTATTTCCCTTCAAATCCTTCATCATCGACGTGAGGGCGCCATCATCATCGTCGGCGTGATCCGCATCGGCGCCGTCACTGGCCTTGCCGGCGTCGTTGTCACCATCGCCGCCGCTACCTTCATCATCGCGTCTACGGTTGTCGACTTTGCCATGATGCCGCGCCCGCCCAAGCCGCCGAATCGCACTGGAGTGCCCGCTGGGGGATGCATCGCCCCCGTGGCCGTTTCGGTAGTGCCAAACGATCGGGCCGCTGCACGCGCGAACATGCGCGGGTTAGCGCGGCCGCAGCGATGCACCAGCAAATTCCAAGCATTCGTCGCAATCGTCGCCGCATGGGTGTTGGAAACTAAGCTGTTTGTGGGTGGGAGGAATGATTGCGCGAGCAGTGGAATTGACAATTCACGGAAAAAACATTGATTCTCCTTTCTAATACAGAATAGACTCTACCCCCCCCGGCGTTATCCGTTCCCGTTTCGGATATGTAAACCATGCATGATTATGCCCACATGTCCTCCTAAATTTTGTTTACAATGTCCCAGGTGAACCGGAATCGGTCCCCCTGAGGTTCCCTTGAAAAACGATGCGCGGGGACATCTTGTGCTTTAACATATCACTGTTCCGCGAATCCTTTTGCAAAAAATGGGACGAAGTGCGCACGCGCGCGTCGTCGCGCGCGCATGCCGAAATGTTTCAAAACTGCGATGTCGGAAGGATTTCGCGATCGAGTTTCCAAAAAACAAGTAAAGACACAGGGTTTCGCAACACTGATTTACTAAAAAAGCTTACGCGGCGTCTCGTCGTCGTCCCTCCTATTTCGTCGCCGTCGTCGTCGTTGTCGTCGTCGTCGTCTTCCCTCCTCCCTCGTCGTTGTCGTCGTCGGCGTTGCCGTCCGTCCTCCTTCTTCGTCGTTCGCGTCGTCGCCGTCCTCCCTCCTCCCTCGTCGTTGTCGTCGTTGTCGTCGATGTCGCCGTCGTCGTCCTCCGTCCTCCCTCGTCGTCGTCTTCGTTCGCGTCGTCGTCGTCGTCTTCGTCGTCGTCGTCGGCGTCGGCGTTGTCATCGTCTTCGTCGTCGTCGACGTCGGCGTCGTCGTCGTCGCCGCCGTCGTCGTCGTCGTCGTCGGCGTCGATGACGTCGTCGTCGTCGTCGTCGGTGTGGTCGTTGTCTTCGTCGTCGGCGTCGTCATCGTCGTCGTCGTCGTCGTTGTCATCGTCGTCGTCGTCGTCGGCGTCGGCGTCGTCGTCGTCGTCGGTGTCGTCGTCGTCGTCGTCGTTGTCGCCGTCGTCGTCGTTGTCGGCGTCGTTGAAGTCGTTGGAGACGTCGTCGGTGTCGTCGTAGTCGTTGTCGGCGGCGTCGTCGTCGTCGTTGTCGCTGTCGTTGTCGGCGTCGCTGTCGCTGCCAAGTGCCATTTGGTACCCACCGTCACGGTCTGAAGAGATTTTGCAAACCAAGTTGCGGGTGGGTGGGTGGGATGTTTGCGCAAGCAGTGGAGTGGTCAAGCGTGGTGCAGGGCAGTCAATTCTCCTTTCTAAAAAGAGAACAGACTCTACCCCCCCCGGACTTATCGCTTCCCGCTGGGATAGTATGATTTCATATATTTTCTGCACACTCGTCCATCCTAAATATGAAATCGTACCATCCCAGGCAGGCCAAACAGTATGCGGTGACATTTGTTGTTCTAACATAACACTTTTTCGCGAATCCCTTGCAACAAAATATGACGAAATGCACACGCGCGCGTCGTCGCGCGCGCATGCCGAAATCCTTCAAGAACCTTCGGTGCCGGAAGGATTTCGCAATCGAGTTTCCAATACTCGTACAAAAACACATGGTTTCGCAACATTGATTTGCTAAAAAAGCTTCCGCGCGAGCTCTTGCGAAATCTTAAGAAAACCATAGGTTTTTCAAGATTTTCACAAAATGCTACCAAGCGGGCTTCGCGCGCGCGCATGTCGAAATCTGTCGAACGCCCTTGCGCGTGTGCCGTCGCGAGAGTTCTCTGCAAAAAATGAGACGAAGTGCAGACGCGCGCGTCGTCGCGGGCGTATGCCGAAAACCTTCAAAACCCATCGGTTTCGGAAGGATTTCAAAATCGTGCGTCCAAAAAACCTACAAACACCCAAGGTTTCGCAACACGGATTTTCAACAAAAGCGTGCGCGCGCGCTCTTGCATCGTCGTCGTCGTCGTCGTCGTCGTCGCCGTCCTCCCTCCTCCGGCGTCGTCGTCGTCGTCGTCGCCTACGTCGTCCTCTGTCTTTCCTCGTGTTCGTCGTCGTCGTCCTCTTTGGCGTCGTGGTCGTTTCCGTCGTCGTTGTCGCCGTGGTCGTCCTTCCTCCTCCTCCCACGTCGTCGTCGTCGTCCGTCGTCGGCGTCTCGTCGTCGTCCCTCCTATTTCGTCGCCGTCGTCGTCGTCGTCGTTGTCGTCGTCGTCTTCCCTCCTCCCTCGTCGTTGTCGTCGTCGGCGTCGCCGTCCTTCCTCCTTCGTCGTCGTTCGCGTCGTCGCCGTCCTCGCTCCTCCCTCGTCGTTGTCGTCGTTGCCGTCGTTGTCGCCGTCGTCGTCCTTCCTCCTCCCTCGTCGTCGCCTTCGTTGGCGTCGTCGTCGTCGTCGTCGGCGTCGGCGTCGGCGTCGTTGTCGAAGTCGTCGGAGACGTCGTCGGTGTCGTCCTAGTCGTTGTCGTCGGTGTCGTCGTAGTCGGTCTTAAGAGGTTTTGCAAACCAAGTTGCGGGTGGGTGGGTGGGATGTTTGCGCGAGCAGTGGAGATGACGACTTCAAGTTCAGCAGAGTGGATTGCACCACTTAGATTGTACTACGCATGCTGCACCACACAGACTGGTAGGAACACACACACACACACACACACACACACACACGCGCACACACACACACATACACACACACACACACACACACACGCACGCACGCACGCACGCACGCGCGCGCACGCACACACACACACACACTCACATACACACACACACACACACACACGCACAAACACACACACACACACACGCACGCATGCACGCACGCACTCACACACATTGTTCGGGGTCCGCGATGGCCAATCTATCGATTGGTGTCTCTGCCAATGCTGTTCCACGAGCGGAGGCGTCCGCGGGCAGGCGCGCCACCGTCGTGGAGGCCGCGCTGGAGCGGGGCGGGCGCCAGGCCGAAGGCGAGGAGCTGGCGGAGCAATGGCGGCGGGATGCTGACCTCGAGGCGGAAGTCCTCAGCTTGGCGCGCATCCAGGTTGCCGTCGCCGTTCTCGTCGTCGTCGTCTTCGTTACCGCCGCCGCCGTCGTCGCCGTCGTCGTCGTCATCGTCGTCGTCGGGCGACAAGGTCCCAAGATACCCGGGCGTTGCGATTGTGTCAATCTGGGTCGTTTTCGACCGTTTCCGGGACCCGCGACCAGCACAGATCAATTCACCTCGGCATTCGTTGCTGCAAGGTTGGGTCTTGGGTTCCCGTCGACACGTCTGGCGATGCCGCATGCTTTCGCAACGCCGTACCCTCAGACCCCCGACGTCATGCTTGTTTCCTAGCGTCGACCCTCAGAGGTCTCCACCCATTCCCCTGGACCGGTCTTTCGTGTCGAGTCGTTTTTTGACGGCCCCGAGGGCCGGTGAGGGCCGCCAAAGGCCGAGAAGATGGAAGCACCTCCCGTCATGATGTTTCCACTGCCCGGGGGTCTGTGTCCCCGGGAGCTCTGCGCGCGTCCGCCGCCCGTGGCCAAGTCCCTCCGGGGCTCAAGAGCGATGTGTGTGTGTGTGTGTGCCACGCCAGCCAAGCTGCGCGCCGCTCCTGGGCCGAGCGTGGGCCTGGCCACGACGGGCAGGTCTCAGTCGGGCAGGTCCCTCTTCAGGTGGAATGTTCAAAAACTGTTTGGAAACAGTAGCCTGGGGACTACTTGTTTGATCATTCTTGAACATGGTTTGAATCCGTTTGACGATCTATGTTTATTTTTCCTCCAAAATCCCCCTGTAGGAGGACATGCCCGACCTAGACCTGGGCGCCCCTCCAGGACGGCTTGGCCGACTGGGACGAGTTCGACGGCCGGCCGCGGGAGGTCGCCGCAGACGAGGTCGACCTGGAGATGGCCGCGCTGCTGCTCGAACTCGCCGGCCCCGCGCGCGGCCCGGAAGATGCGCCCGCGGTGCCCCGTCACCGGGGGTCGGAGCAGCTGGCCGGCGAGGCCACGCTGGAGCTGCTGCACGAGCTGTCCGCCACCGCGCCGCCGGGCGGCGGCGCTGTGCTCCTCGGCGGCGGAGGCTCGCAAGACAAAGAGGAGCTGGTTATACCCCTCTCGTGTCGGGAAATCAAGAGCGACGGGATGTTTTTCGTTGTTTCGGCCTCCACTTAATGGGAACAAGCGATTGAACAAATGCCCCCCCCCCCCCCCTCCCTCCCCCCAGGGGCATCGAAATAATTGAGTTCGGCTGGATGTAATATCGTCCAGCCGCCAGAACTGTTGTTTTAATCGTCTGCCGCCCCCCGCGGCAATTTTTCTGCCGTCGCGTTCGAACTGATGTTCTACTCGTCTCCCCTGCGCTCGCTTGTCCACCCGTGGCGCTGCAGACGCACAGCGTCGGCGCTGTATTTTCACAGCTGCAGGATGGAGAAGGGAAGATGAGGCCGAGGCGGAGGTGGAGGAGGATAGTGCGGGGGGAGGAGGGGAGGAGGGAGGAGGAGGGGAGGGAGAGGACGCGGAGGAGGAGGAGTAACAGCAGCAGCAGCAGCAGCAGCAGAAGGTGGAGGATGAGGATGAAGATGAGGATGAGGATGAGGAACTTGTCGCCCGTCCTAATCAGATCGCGCCCCTGGAGAGGTCTGTGGAGCAGCGTTAAAGGTATTATGTATTATTTGTGCCCCCCCCAACAGGCTCCGCGTTCCCAGAGGGTGAGCGCTGGCGCGCGGACATGTTCGAGATGCGCAAGCGGCTTGGAGCAGCCATCGCCTCCGATCTGCAAGAGCTCGAGGCGCCCAGCTGAAGACGTGCGCAGCCAACGGGCCTTGTGAGGATGGTCGTGGGTGGTGGTAGCGTCGACGCCGACGCCATGGGACACGTGCCTGGGGGGCCTGGAGCGAGCATGTCCGCGTCCAGCGCACCCGGCAGCACTTGCAGGAACACCACACCGAGGGAGCTGCACGAGGACAACGGCAGCACCGACGTCAGCGTGGAGGGCGGGGCGCTCCATGGAAGCAGAGCGCGCACGTCTGCGCCCAGCGCGCCCGCCAGATCTCGGAGAAGCCTCGACGGGGAAGCTCGACGGCCACCCCGCTCAAAGATCTGGGGCGTCCCTAGAGGGGGTGAGGACTAGGCGGGGGGGGGAGGGGCAGATCATGGCCGGGGGCCAGGCTCCCTCCTTGACTTCATGGCCCCTCCTTCTTATTAGCATGTGTATTATGCTTCTTTTTCTTTGCTTCTTCTGCTTCTTCTTCTTCTTCTTCTTCGTCGTCTTCTTCTTCTTCCTCCTATTGCTAGTAGTACTCGTATTATTTTTGCCCCCCCCCCCCCCCTCCGTTCGCTCACATGCCTCGGGGCCCGAAGTCTGCGGCCTTCCCTCCCTCGTCCGCGCACGTGCCGCGGCGCCCAGGATTTGCGCCCACCCATGACTCCGGATCCGCCCTACTTTGGGGAAATTCGTAAGTAGGGCTTGGAATTTCCGCCTTACTTTTCAAGCCCCGCTGCTGCCAATTTCCGCCCTACGTTTCTGCTGCTGTTTCCACCCTACTTCTGTGGATTTCCGCCCTACTTTATGCTGGGTGCAGAAATTTCCGCCCTACTTCTTCGGCCTTTTATAGATGGATTTCCGACGCAGTTTTAAGTTGGAAAAAAACCAAGGTACGGCGGATCCGAAGTCAGAGACCCCCCTCCCTCGTCTTCGCACGCGCCTCGGGCCAAGATCTGCCAACCCTTCAGTCAGGCCTGTCCCCCTACAGGAGGAGTCTTTAAAAGTGATCCAAAGACAGCCTGGGGGCGATACTTCGACCATGTTTGAGCATGTTTTTAGATTTTTGGTGCATGTTTTATTCCTCGTCCCAAATCCGCCTGTAGGATGACACGCCCGACCTAAGCCAACCCCCCTCCTTCCTGACCCTCCTCTTCGGTCAGCGAGGCGCGCAGCGCTAGTGCCACAGGCGCGCAGCGCCGCCTCCTCGTGTCGGTGGCCGGCTGGCCAGCCGAGCGGTCGGGTCGTTGCCGGTTGCCCGCTCGGCTTGATCCACGGGGTTCACGCCCTTGCCAGAGGGGAATAATGACACTGACCATAACCAAGGCCCAAGGCTTCTCGGGAGCTTCTCGACGCCGATCTTGGGTCGTGGCCCATGGATGGCCCGTTCGCGAGGACGACCCACGGCTTGAAGAGATGGCGACGGATTGACCCATGATTGAGGGTGACCCACGATGCGCGAGTGTGGCCCACGATTCGCGAGGATGACCCGCAGATGGATCATGGCCGACGCCGATTCGCAAGGATGACCCACGCACTGACGATGACCAAGATGGGCAACGACCAAGCCCGACCCCGACGCTTCCGCGTTCAGTCCTGGTCATGGTCACGGTTTTGTTGCTCCCCTCCACCTGCTGCCGAGGGCGAAGGCTTCCTGGGCACTCGCGCGCCTGGCTGCTGCTGCCAGCGCGGCGTGGGCTCCTGTGCGAGAGCGGGCCCTTCAGGAGCACGGCTGCGGTCGGGAGGCCCTTTGCTTGGCGTGTCGCGCCCCCAGGGTTTGTGCCCACCACGCTTCGCCCTCCTCCTCCTCTTCCTCCTCCTCCTCCTCCTCCTCCTCCTCCTCCTCCTCCTCCTCCTCCTCCTCCTCCTCCTCCTCCTCCTCCTCCCTCCCCCTCCCCCCTCCCCCCCCCTCCCCCTCCCCCCCCCTCTCCTCCTCCTCCTCCTCCTCCTCCTCCTCCTCCTCCTCCTCCTCCTCCTCCTCCGTCCCCAGTCGTCCAAGTCCCGAGTTGCTCCGAGCCTCCCGCCCCGCGCAGAGGAGCGACACGCTATCCGCTCGCAGGGCATACCGTGGAGGCCCATGCCAAGAAGCACCCTGTTGGCATCCAGGGTGCCCTGGGTCTCTTGGGCCTCGATGGTGCTGCGATGGCAAGCGTGACGCTCCCACACCAAAAACCAGAAGACGTCCTGGGGTCTCAGGGTCGGGTTTCTTGTGGAAGGTTTCTTGTGGTCGGGCCTCCACTGTAGCATGTTGCCGAGGCCGCCGCTGCGGCACGCAAAACAAGATTTCCTGTCCGCAAGGGGGGATTGGCTCAGGGTGCGGTAGGTTCATGCAGCGTTGGCGCGCCGGCGACGCCGGCGAAGACGTTCAAGACTGGGCCCTGCGACGTGGACGCACCGATGGGTACGGTAGTGCCACGCCGACGCCGCACGAACCCGCCCGAGGACGCCTCGACCCCCACTGCGCCTATGGCTCGCCGACGTGCAGGGGCTCAACGCCCCGCCCAGCTCCCGGGAACGTGCGGCTTCGCCGTCGGAGGCCTGCTTCGCCGATGCCTCGGCGAGGCACCGCCGAGTCCAGCCTCAAGTCGGGCCTGTCCCTCTGCAGGAGGAAAGTTCAAAAAGAGGCAAAAAGATAGTCTGGGGACGTTGTTTCGATTATGTTCTGACTGTTTTTGGATATGTTGTACCTCTTCTTCATTTTTCGTCCAAGATCCGCCTGTAGGGGGACATGCCCGACCTAAATGTACCGCCGACTCCAGCCCGATGGTTCCCCTCCCGAGCTGGTCCCCCCCCCCGGTCCTTGCACCTCGGCTCTGCACGGACGGGGAGCCACGGGATCCCAGACGTTCGGCTGCTCCATGTTTCTCGATGCGTGGGCCCAGGAGGTCCGGACCACTTCCCCAGGGCCGGTGTTTCGTCCCGAGCCGTTTTTTGACGGTCCCGAGGCCCGGCGATTGCCCCCAGAGGCCGAAAGCGGCCGAACGCCGCCTGCTCCAAATTTTGTTGTTTGGAGCGTCGGATCTCTGGGAGTCCAGGCTTGAGGCGGCCGCGCGGGCCTGTCGACGAGTGTGCCCTCACCGTCTGCGAGGCCCTGCAGCAACCCCAGGGGGAGGCCATCGCCATCGGCCGTGGCAGTCCAAAGCTCGCGAGCCTCGTGTCCTCGAGTCGCTCTCGGTCGCTCCCCTGTCCTGCAGGAGGGAAAAAACATACGCAATGAATCATCGATTCCCATAAAAATATGGGAAAATATGGGAAGTGGGGAGGAAGACAAAAACACAGAAAATATGGGAATACATGGGGAATCCGGTTATTTGTCACTCCTGCGTCCCCAGAGAGTCGAGGGAGGAGGGGCATCACCAGCACCACCGCCGGGGGCCTGCTCCCAGCGAGGGGGGCCTCGATGCCTCCCAGAGCTGAGGAGTGCGGGTGTATCGAGCGCGAGGGGGGGGGGGGGGGCACACCACCAGGAGGACCCTGGCTGCTCCCATCGAGGGGATCCTTGATGCCTCCCCGAGCTGATGAATGGGGGTGTCTCGAGCGCGAGGGGGGGACCACACCACCAGGAGGAGCCTACCTGGTGCCTCGCGCTGGTGGTGGTTGTGGTGTCGCCTTTCCGTGCTTCTGCAGAGTAGCTGCTGGTTGCCACGAGTGGCAAGTCGTAGTGCCCAACCCCCCATGCTGTCCACTCTCTCTGCCTCCTCCGAGTGGAGGGGGAGCTGCGGGAGCAGCAGACACGCGGGACGGAGGAGAGGAGGAGAAAGGGGAGGAGGAGAAGGAAGAGGAAGAGAAGGAGGAGGAGGACGAGGAGAAAGCGGAAGCGGAGGTGGAGGAGGTGGAGGAGGATAAGAGGACGTGGAGGGGCGGAATGGTAGGAGCTCGCTGGCAGTAGTCGAGGCCGACGCGGCCGGGCCTGGCTTCCCCTTTTTGTTATCCTTCCGATCCTCCGATCGCCCCGCTGTTACACCCCTGCTGCGATTACCCTTACGGTCAATACTACTACTACTACTACTACTACTACTACTACTACTACTACTACTACTACTACTACTACGACTACTACTACTACGACCACGACTACGACTACGACTACGACTACGACTACCACTACTAATATTAAGACGACGACGACGACGACGACGACGACGACGACGACGACGACTACTACTACTACTACTACTCCTACTACTACTACTCCTACTCCTACTACTTCTT